TGTTTCACAAATATATTCTGTCTGGAACCATATTAATAACAATTCCTTTTTATACCATCACGTGGGTTTTTAAGCGTTCTCTATCCAATATACATCTTACACATGTACATGACAGCGATTTTGTTCTATTCCTTTTAGATAAAACTGAAAACAGAATGCATGTATACATCAATACAGGATCATGCTTTCTGCACAATAATTATTCATTTCAATAGTGCACAGCAGTTTATTGAATTTTTGGAAGCTTTTTTGATCCTGCTGACAATCATTCAGATTTTACCAATTTAAAAGAATTTTTCAAAAGACCCAAGTACTAATTTCATGTGAAACAGAAGATGATAGAGGAACGCTGTGTGTTTACTGGTTTAAATGTACAGTGGCACGTAATTCTATGGAATCTTTCTGCCCAGACTATTGATCAAATCTGCTTGTTAAGCCTTGTTTCCATTAGTCTTCATAGGAAAGAGAACAGACTTTTATTTCCAAACGTCTCTCAATATTATCTCGGAATCTCTATGACTGGGGACTAGAACTTCTTAGGTGCATACCATGAGGCATGTCATTTAAAAGCTAGATCACAGAGCTCCAAAGATTAACACGTATTTATTATCCACTGCCCTTAAAAGAACGTTTTATCTTAACTGCTTTTGGCAGGATATTTTTCTTCTTGTATAAAAAATGATAAAGAATTTCAAGAAGAAGTTCAAATCAATCGCCATGCAAAGAAGTGTTTATATTTTCGTGTGAAAATGAACAGTACGTAACAACTGGTCAACTCAGTATACATGTAATGTTCCATAAATTGCTAGCATAATGATCTCTGCAGCCAGGGATGTGTATGATACAAAAACTTCAATTTATGAACAATCTTTGTTGGGAATATGTTTTGAATAGAATCACAAAATACAAATTTCATTCAAAGATTTTTGCTTCCAAGAGCTGTTGTGTACCCATATTGTACAGTATATTATATACTGTACATACCATATTGTATATGACAGGAATCTCACTTTGTTGATGGTTTCGTCATGAAACACAAGGTTCCTATGCACAATAGTGACGACATCCCGTGACGAAAGTAAAATTGTTTGGTCATCATGTCAATTATAGTTCATTCCTGCTATTATATTCAAAGTACAGCACCCCAGAAATTAATATCAGATCTGTCAGTGATGACAGATAGGGGTTCCCCCGAGATCTGCTTCGGATGACATTCAATCGAATCGATTACAAGTGTTATATGGTGTGTGTTATTTAGGGCCCTTGATTCCTCACAATGAAAGGTAAGATTGGAAATTTTTGGTTAAGAACGTTTGATTTTGCCTTCTTCTTTGATAATGTTTTGTGTGCACGTAGCTGAAGAAAAATAACATTAATGATTTTAAATTTTCAAAAGTGTTAATAATTTTATTATTAATCTGTTAAAATTCTTTGAACTTGTTTTCCATGAAGTCATATATGTATGATTGAACTTGTTTTCCATGAAGTCGTGCATAATTATTTGTAGATTGATAAACAAGCATGAATCTAGTCACATAGAGCACAATTAATGGGGTTTTTGTACAGTTTCCGAATGTAACATTACAGCAATTTTGGATGGTAATCCTACATTTAAAAGCCTTACAATTCTTCAAATTAAAAAAAGCACTTGACGAAAATCTTGAAAATCACAAGTGTTACTTACACTATAGGAAATGTTAATTGAAAGCCTGGTACCCCCCCCCCCCAATTTTAATGATGTATAGATATGCACACAAAATCCAGTTAAAGTAGTTGACACTGAAAAAAATATATTGAGACAATACTTCTTTCCCCCCCCCCCCCCCTGTAAAAATTCGATAACTATTGACATTTAACTTTTTCCTTTTTTTTTTCTTTTGCTTGTCAACTTTTTCAATAATAAAAAAAATTTTCTCTGGCAATGGCCCCCCCACTTTCAAAAACGATGCTACGCCACTGCAAATTAAAAAAAGCACTTGACGAAAATCTTGAAAATCACAGTAGTGTTTGTTTACTGTTATCCATCCAGATCGAATTAACCCTCTACCCTTTTCAATAACCCCAATTTCTCAATAATGCATACGATATGCACACAAAATCCATCCTCTTCAGAAAAAAATATATTGAGACAATACTTCTTTCACTGTAAAAATTCGATAACTATTGACTTTTAATTAAGCCCTACCGGCTGTTCTCTGTTTGAATAATGAAGCAGATAGCATACAATGAAACTCACTTTAAATTTTTTATATCTAGAAAAAATAGGAAACTTCACAGCAGTTTTAACCAATCAACAGTGAGTGTTTGACCGTCTTAGCTTAATGTACGTTTTCTCCCATATTTTTTCGCTATAGAGCAAGACCCCACTTTCCCTCCTCATTTACTTCTAGTAAGATGTAAAAGGTATGTAAAAAAAATTGGAAGTGGAAGAATTTGGCTTTGAAAAAGTCATCAATTTCCCCCCCCCCCCCCCCCCACCAAGCCAAAAGGATCAATTGCACATGTAGACGACAGCCAATTTTATCTCATAATTTTTTTTTTGGCTTCAACTTTTTTCAGGTAATAAAAAAATTTTTTCATACAAATGTATGTTGTAAATTCTGAATTACATGTAACAAGGTAAATGTGAAATTTATACAACATGATATCGCAATTACAGTGCATGTATTTACTCACTGAATTGACAGATTTTCCCGTTATTTCCCGATCATGACAAAGACATATGGCTGACGTTAACGGTTGGCAAGGGATGCTCACTTCCCCATATGGCACCTGATCCCACCTCTGATGCTTTAGAGGTCTATGTTTGCTTTGCTCCTGATTTTTTTTCTTTAAATGTTCAAAAGCTTGATAAATGCTCGTTATCTCCATAAACACCAGGTTGTAAATTTTGCATTTACCTCCGTCTAGTATAATATGTAAATTCAAAATTTATAACATGATACACGAAGTATATCAATGAAGTTGGTACAATAACATCTTAACAATAATAGCTTTAAGTGTAAAAAAAAATATAACAACTTAAGATACATATATAGTATAGTATATCCATGTATGTATTGCATTATTTTATATACGGTCACTAAAGAAATAAATACAGCAATCTAAAATCGAAGCTTGGATTTCTCTTTCTATTCCATCATTTATTTTTAAAAAAATATTGTTACAAAGGCATTTATCTGTCAAATGCAAATCTTATAAGTCAAGCTTTCATGTCTCCAGAACTGAAATACAAGTCGAAAGAAATACACGGCCCATGCAGAATTAATTCTTCTCTTCAATCACCAGTGTTACTATAAGAGAATGATCGTCAAATTTAATTCAAAAGGAAACTTTTAAGAAATGCGGTGCTAGAGTAATTATAATGCATCGTACACAGATCTGTCTGTGAATTTCTTTCTACTATCAGTATACAGTTCAGTTCATTCCATAAGGCTATACTCTCTTTGACCCCCATTAGGATCGAGTGATTTGCATATATTCCCCTAATGTACATAATTGATCATTCATAATAGTGGTGTTGCAGTTATTCTCCAAAAATCAGAGACCTTGATCATAAACTTGTTAATTTTACGTTCCCTTGTTAGTATTTTATTGTCTATAACAATAATTGTATTGGATTTTTCTGTAGGATTAAAAGGTTTGTTGTAAAATAACGATCACGTGATTGATATTCTCCTTGGTGGAAAGGTTCATAAAATAATGTAATCAGTCTGTTTTCTTCCCTTCCTACCGCAAAACGATACGAAGGGGAGAAATTTCAAATCCAGCATTTCGTGAAGCCAAAACCCTAATCCATCGATTAAACACGTTAAATACGAAAGCCCAAGCACTCAAGTTTTCAAAAAGTTATTGCCAAGATTAGAGCGTCTTCAAGGGAATGTCCAGTGTCAAGATTCAAAAGTCAGAATTGCTGGTGTCCAAAGGAGGGTCATATAACAAGAAAAACACCTGTGAAAAATGAAAATCCTAGTACTACAATTTTTTAGTTATGGCCAAGGTCAGAGTTTTTAAAAGTGGCTGGGTGAAACTCTAAGCACAATGAATACAAATGTGAAGCATTAAAGCCCTAGCGCCAGCTGTTTAAAAATTATGGCCAAGATTAATTAATGTTCGGTATTTTTTTTTTTTTTGCAAAAGTGGGTAAAAGGGCAAGGTCAATGTCATAAAAGTCAAAGTTGTTGGTAACCAAAGAAAGGCATTGTAACAAAAATTTTGAAAACCAGAGCTTCAACTAATCAAAAGATATGGACAAGGTTACAGTTTTTGTGGATACACAAACAAACAGCTTGACGGGCAAAAACCATATACCTCCCGAATCTACGATAACTGTGGCATTTTAGTGGTTTATAACCTTTAACAGTGTTTCCTATTCAAAATACATTTTATGTTTGTTTATTATAGATTTTTTTTTTAAATTTAAACAAATCAACTGGTTACATTGAAAATATAATAATTTAGAACATTGAACAGATTTAACATACTGGCAATCAGTTTTAAAACATACAAAAAAGAGAAAAAATATTTGTAACATAGCATTTTCTGATTAGGTTTTATATTTTTCCTTTACAAAATGCAACTTTCTACAGCCATGTTGTCATTTTATATTAATAAACATACGGTATGTATAAATTAAAGACTAATTAAACAGAGATCTATTTAGTAAGGCAGTGATGCGTTTTGAAATTAGATTGAGCTCAGTATATATCAGCCAAAGGCAGACAGACAAACTCATTAAGTCTACTAATTTCCCAATACAATTTCTGCCACCTATCATTCTGTTATAATTGATTCTGTCTAGATAGATAAAAATAATTGATAGCAATCATTACCAAATGTTACTAAAGTTCATAACCCGTGCTTCTTCAGATCTGACCAAGGATCAGTAAACATATGTTTGCAAAGGGTTTTTGTAGAAATTCTTTTTGTAATAATACAAATATTGCATTATGTCGTAATTATTAATCAAGGTAACATATTTTCTTTTCTTCCATTTGTAGCCCCTTTGGCAATCTCGGATAACTCAGCCCTGACCGACATCGAGTCACCGGAGGCTTCTCCTGCCCTCAGGACAAAGATGACGTCATCTACAAACGTCAATTCAATCGCAGATGATGGTGACATTGTGTTTATTACGTCAGTGACTTCAGAAACAGAACCAGAATCACAGGATTTTCCTCATGTGAAACGAAGACCCAAAAAATGTGACAAGACTTCCAGAGATTCCGCACACCGGAAGAGCGTCCGGAACCGGGTTCGTCGTCGACTCAGCAGCTTCCACGAACAAATTCCCGTCAAAATTCAAAACTTCGTCCTTAAATATACACTCTTTTTCTTCAATTTTTTATCATGGGTAAGTACAAATTTGTTTGAATTTAGAATGCATTTTTTTTTCTTATTGTAAATTGCATAACTCTTATTTCTTTTAGCATCGGGTCGTGTCTACATCCACTGAATCAAGGCGAGCCGTTTCTCAATACCGGAATGCCTTTATCCGATGTTTTATTTGAATAAAAAATGAAACTTAAATAGCACTAGTAATCAATAGTGATGATTTGACATGCTATTACAATTGCATGCATTGCAAATGCTTCATATGAAAGATAAATATATTGCTAATTAAATGTTTACTTTGAACTTGAAATCACGATCGTTAATTTTACAATTTAACATTAATTTTCATTACGAGGTGCTCTGAACATCAAACATGTAAAAACTCAATATAATCTAAGCCCACAATGTGTAATGCCGTGTTTTCATTTTCCATTATTTTAAGTCGAACTAACTGAAGTACAAATTTAAAATTCGAAAGCCCACGTTTTAACCGTTCAAAAGTAAAGTTATTTGAAAGAGATCTCTTTTTATGTCCTGTTGACGTAGATTTGGGGCATTCAGTTTTTGGTCTGTTCATCTGTCTGTCTTTGTGTCTGCAAAAACTTCAACTTGTCCATAACTTTTGATTGAAGCTAGTGCATTCATATCTCACAGGTATATTTTTGGGGACCAGATATTTTTTGGGTAATGTCGACATATTTGACACTTTCATCTTGCAATTTGACCCACCTTTGCTAATTTTTAACAAACTTTAACTTTTGTCATAACTTTCGAACGATTAGTACGTAGTTTTTCGAATTTTGGGTACCTGTAATTTTGGCTTTGACCGTGTATGTCCTTCTTTAACCATGGTCATAAAATTTGAACAGTTGGTTTTATTGCTTTACTATTTCACGTGTATTCTTTTCTGTATTCTTTGTGGCGATACCTTCCCTTTGGTAACTCTCTTTTTACCTCTTGACCTTGGAGTTTGCTTGATCATGATAATTCAGTTGTCTTGGATAATGGTTATAATTTTTAGACATTTAATATTCATTAATGTTACAACTTTCATATTTTCACATGAGTATTACCTGTAACATGTTCCACCGTGGATACCAATCAAACAATTCTGATTTTTACTTGGAGTTTGACCGGCTTTTAAAAAACCTTCTCTATGGACACGACTTCTAAACGGTTGGTTCCAGGATTTTCATATATCGCAGGTATAGTCCTTATTAACTAGAACATTCTTTGGAAAAATTTAGATTTTAGACCTTGATCCTTGGAATTAGAAATTGATTGCATTTGGAAACAAGATGTGTTTTGGAAACACTGATCTGATTCCCCCGTATGGCAGCTTATGGCGAAGGTTGAAGTTTCTCAAATGCGAGTCAAACTCCAAGATCTAAGAAAAAAGTCAAAATTGTTGGTATGAAGAGGAGGAAGGTCTTTTAACAGGGAGTGCACCTGTGAAATATGAAAGGCTTAGCGCGAACTGTTCAAAAGTTATGACCAAGGTTAAAGTTTTTTTTTTAACAAAGTGGGTCAAACTATAAAGTCAGGGTCTAAAGGTAAAAAAATATTTATACCAGTTGAAAGGGTTTGTCACAATGAACACACAAGTGAAGTATGAAAGCCTTAGCACCAATTGTTAAAAAGTTATGAACAAGTTTAAAGTTTGGTACATGTATTTTTTTTTCTAAAAGTGGGTCAAACTCCAAGGTCAAGTTCAAGAGGCCAAATTTGGTGTTACACAAAGAAAGGTCTTGTCTAAAGGAATATACCTGTGAAATATGAAAATGAATAGCCCCACCCACTCAAAAGTTACAGGTAAGGTTAAAGTTTATACGAAAAACAAACAAACAGATAAACAAGACAAAAACTATATACCCCCGAATCTTCTATCATGGGGCATAAAAATTAACATATAAATTATTAGGTAATGGGTTGTCAAACAGAAGGAATTTGCGATTTACAAACTTCTTTTTTCGAATAAAATGACTTTTTACACGTTGAAACGACTTAAAAATTAGCATAAAAATATATTTTAAAATCATTGTCTAGCGATTTAACTCGTCGATTTCTTTAAGGAATATAATCGTCATATTTGATTTTAAAAGAAAATTTCACGTTCGTTTTGCAAGCACATACATGTATTAAAAAGGAAAGGGAGCATTAATCGACAAATCACGGTTCCATGTACATTTTCCAACATATTTTATTCCCCGGTAATGGAAGATTTGGTGGTATATACATGTAGTTTTTGTCCTGTCCGTTCGTCTGTCTGTCTGCCTGTTTGTCCGCAAAAACTTTGACCTTGCTCAAAACGTTTGATTGCTTTAACCTAAGGTTTTCATATTTCTCATGTGTATTCCTTGAGACAAGACTTTTCTTTGGGTATCAACATATTTAACCCTTGACTGTGACCTTTGAGTTTAACCCACTTTTTGAAAAATTTTAACCTTGCAAGGACTTTTATATTTCAAATATGTATTTACCATTCCATGGGTATAAATATTATTTACCTTTTGACCTTGACCTTAGAGTTTGACCCACTTAAAAAAAATTAACCTTGGAATTACTTCTGAACAACTAGCACTAGAGCTTTCCAATTTAAAAGGTAAATTCTTGTTAGAAGATCTTTTTTTAGATACCAACAATTTTGGCCCCATGACCTTCTCCTTGGAGTTTGGCCTATGTTTCAAAAACATTTACATTCGCCATATGCTGCCTTACAGGGGCATCAGTGTTTCACAAACACGTCTTATTGTTCTGTTTAAGTTAGGTGGACTTGGGGCGGTGGGAGTCGGCACGTGGCAGCTCACAGACGACCAGAAAGTCATCACGGACGCTGTAGACTTCGTCCTTGACCCATTTATCATCCTATGCATTATTGGTGCTATCACATTCACCATTGCCTTTCTTGGTTGTGTCGGTGCTATAAGGGAACATGTTCTCATGCTAAAATCTGTAAGTAATTAAAAAAAAAATTATAAAGGCTTAAAAAATGCCATTCAATATCAATTTAGGGTTGATGTGAAATGAAAATTCCATGAAACACTGAGTTTAAATAATATCTCTACGTTTTACAGTTTTACATTTGTCTTTCAATCGTACTGGTGATTGAGTTAATATGTGGGGTCTTGGTCATCGTGTGTTATACCGAGCCCGCGGCCAGGGACTTTCTACGCCTCACCCCAGAAACGCTACTCAAACGCGCCATAGTGCAGTATATGGAGGATAAAAGTATTAAAAAACTGATGGATACCATTCAACGACAGGTATAGTCGTAGTAGTGGATATTTATATAAGATTTTTCCCTAGGAACATGACAACTGCAGGGCCACTAGCTGCAGAGACTGCATGGATTATTAGCGTTATGAATTTATATTTTAGTTTTTGACCATAACAGTTATTATAACCATATTGTCAAAAACTAAAATATTAAACTATAATAGCACAGTTTCTGCAGCTGTAGGGCTAGCACGAGTTAGGAAATACTAGTAAAATTGCTTCAAAGTGTTTCAATGATTATTTCATGCATGTTAACACATACATAAAGTGCAATTAATGCTAAAACATCCACGATCTTCCAAAATCAAAATTTTGAAGTAAGAGGTGTATTCAAATCACAATGTAAATTTTAGCGTCAAATGTTTATGTACTACCAAAGAGACAAAATGTGATAGAAAATTTAACATTATACATGTAATTGAATTGCGTTCACTCTTCTATCGACTTGTAACACAGTAAACTGAAGACAAAAATTCTAATTTTCTATATGATTTAGGTACAACCCATTATCGGGCAATATTGCAACAAAATCTTGATGGATTGCTTAATACATTTAAAACTAGACCATCAATAAATCGCTAACACCGCTCATTGTGACGGAAAAAGGGCTTAAAACATTTTCAGTAACATAATTTTATTTTATATATGAACTGTCAAGAGAAATGAACTGTCATTGTACAAACTCTAAGAGGTCATTGTACCATAGAAGTTTTCAGTGCTCAACAATTAAAACACATATCACGTGGTCCAATCACAACTTAACTGATAGAGTTAACGGATGACAGTATGCTTTTAATTCTTTCGACTCCGGTAGTTAGTTTTACTGTTGAACTTTTCTTTTTTCTGTTCACGTGTTGCTGTTTTCTGATCATTTGTTAGTTTGACTGTGTAGCTTAAGTTTAACTGCTCAGATGTTGATGTTTAGCTTTCTTAGTTTAACCATTGTAGCATTAATGTTTTCTAATCCTGATTAAGTTTTAGCTGTTGCAGTACTGATGTTTTAAAATTTGTTGTTACTGTATAAATAACCCCAGATTGTGAAACATAAACTCAAATGTTTGTTTTGCTTTCATAGTTTAACTGTTGTGGTATCGATTTTTGATTCTCAGTTTAACTGTTATGGTATCTACCGGTATTTCTGATTCTCAGTTTAACTGTTGAGGTATCTATCTCTGATTCTCGGTTTAACTGTTGTAGTATCTATTTCTGATTCTCAGTTTGACTGTTGCGGTATCTATTTCTGATTCTTAGTATAACTGATGCGATATCTATTTCTGATTCTCAGTTTAACTGTTGTGGTATCTATTTCTGATTCTCAGTTTAACTGTTGTGGTATCTATTTCTGATTCTCAGTTTGACTGTTGTGGTATCTATTTTTGATTCTTAGTATAACTGATGCGATATCTATTTCTGATTCTCAGTTTAACTGTTGTGGTATCTATTTTTGATTCTCAGTTTAACTGTTGTGGTATCTATTTCTGATTCTCAGTTTAACTGTTGTGGTATCTATTTCTGATTCTTAGTATAACTGATGCGATATCTATTTCTGTTTCTCAGTTTAACTGTTGTGGTATCTATTTTTGATTCTCAGTTTAAGATTAACTTTTTTTTGGTATCTATTTTTGATTCCTAGTTTAACTGTTGTGGTATCTACGAGGGTTGTCCCATAAAATCGTGGACAAAGCGTTTTTCTCTAAAAGTAATGGGCGCACTGAGCTGAAATTTTCAGTAAATGTTTATTCATCATATTTAAGTGAATCATAATGTTTTTGATAATATATATTCAAAAATAAAGATTTTATTCTGCTTGAATGTGCACAAGGTACGGTCCTACGGCGCACGGTAAAAATAGTAAGGTTATATTAGAGAAGACATAAGAATTAATTCGTAAGAAAAGTTTTCAATACATAAGATTAGGATGAAAATTATCCTAATTCCATTCCTTAATCAATTCTGTCGTCTTTTTAAAAATTTCAAGGCATTTGGTTAATTTTTGGCAGTTTCCCGTTTGAAATGGGAAAGTAATAAACACAATACACGAAAAATGGCGACTTTTTATGACGTTACGGCGCACCGGAGAGCAGTTCAGATAGATTAGGATGTTGTAATGACACCTTAAGAGACTTTAAATGAATACAGAAGAAAGAAAATATGAAAAATATCACCAGGATCTTTAGTATATAAATGAAATGAAAGTTTTCTTAGTGAAGTCTTCGTGATCGAGTCCCGAGATAGTACAAAACATATGGACAGACTGCCATTTGTTATAGCAAAGGACACTGTCACTGTCGACCGTCGATGTGGGATTCTCCTTTAGTTGAATGATGGTGAGAATACTGTCTGTAACTTGCTAATAAATATTCAGAAGATCGCATGAGTGTGCCTTATTGGTTTCTTAACTAGTTATAGATACTCACATATGTAAATCAATAAAATTTCTAAATTTAAGTGGGGCTTATCCAACTTTAAGTTTAGCAAAGATGAAACGTGACACTGTTTTAGACACTTTGACGTTATCATCCGTGCGCCGTAGGGCGATACAGTACATAACATAAAATATCACAATTTGTTTACCTATGCATATATCTATTTGAAATTTGCTATGTATATTCATAATTTATCGACTAAAAAGTGGTGAAAATTTCAGAACGCAGTGATGATTATTTTTCAAACTAGACAACTTATCCACGATTTTACGGGACAACCCTCGTATTTTTTGATTCTAAGTTTAAATGTTGCGGTACCTATTTTTGATTCTCAGTTTAACTGTTGTGGTATCTATTTCTGATTCTCAGTTTAACTGTTGTGGTATCAGTGCTACTGACGAAGGCTACAAGGACTGGCGACTCAACATGTACTATAACTGCACGGAAGAGAACCAAAGTATATTCCGATGTGCCGTACCAGAGTCCTGCTGCATTTATTATCCGGTAAATTCTGCTACACTTATTAAGTCAAAGTCAGATTACCATAATATGAGTCAGATTACCATTAAAATAGGTATGATCGTTAATTTGCAAAATGGGACATTTTTAATTGCTAACACTTGGTATTTGCAACAAAAAAATCAAATTTCAAAAAGTACAATAACTGGTATCACATTTTCATTTCGTAGGTATCCATGTAATCTTTTTATAAAGCAAGGCGTAGAATCTAGAGATGAACAACGGTAGAAATACTTGCTACTCTTGGGTGTTTGTCGGCGCCATGTTGCCTTGTTTCAGGTTTTATTGTTTATTATTTCAGGGGGAACGAATGAACACAATGTGTGGTTTTGGGAAAACAGACAAAGACGTGAGTTCATCAGATACGACAGCTAGTTACAAGCTGTATTTTCTTTGACAAAAACTGCTACGTGGAATGCTAGTATATTGAAGGAAATACATGTAATTGATAAAATTGTTTGACAAAAAAAGTGAATATTTGTCAAAGATTATGCTAACCTCGACGATTGCTATCTATATGTACGGCAAATCATTATTTTTCTAGACAGTGTACATCCCAAGATGTACTATGTCTAATCACGCAATTCCAACTACAAAAAAAACCCCACAAAGATGTCATTGTGTTTGTGAAACACATGGCCATGTACATGTATAGCAGCACATAGCAAAGATTAATGTTTTTCAAATGCAAATCAAACTCCAAGATCAAAGAGATCAGAAATATACTGGAACACAAAGAAAGTTCTTGTCAAATTGAATACATCTGTAAATATGAAAACCCCAGCACCAAACCGTTCAAGTGTTATTGCAAGTTAAAAAGTTTAAACTCCATTTTTAATGATAAGTCAACGGAATTTTGGGATCCAAGAAAAGGCCTTGTCACAAGAAATTTTCTTGTTACTTGTATAAGCCCTAGCACTAACTATTCAAAATTTATATCCAAGGTTAAAGTAGGCAAAAAGTACCTGAAGAAAGACCTAGTCATAAGAAATATACAGGCAAATGATGAGAGTCGTCATTTCAGTCATACAGGCAAATGATGAAAGTCGTCATTTCAAACAATCAAAATTTATAGGCAAACTAATTTTTGCAGACGAATAAATAGTCAGAGCAAAACAAAAATTGTAGCCTCTAAATGTTAGATAAAGGGGTCATGATATTTGAACGTCATCAATTAAAGAAATCCAGCATTGTCTTTATTTTTTTTTCAGTTGAGAGAGGTGCAGTCCTGGATCTACACTCGCGGTTGTGTGAAGGGCTTTGGAGAGTGGCTGTCTAAATACGAGTATATAATTCTACTCACTTCATGTATCGTCATGTTTATGCAAGTACGTCAACAAATTGTATAATTTTTCAAGATTGATAAGGAAGCCTTTACTGGCAAAATTAGATCTTCTATCCTTTCCAATCACTGGATTCGGTAAAAATCTCAAAATTCTAAGGTTTTATTTTACTGTCTTTTGGACTTAAAATGATTGTCTTTTTTTTAGTTTCTTGGAGTAATATTCGCCAGAATTTTCTCAAAGAGAGTAGAACGGCGAATCCTGTGGCAGAACTTACATCACCATACAGAGGAGAGCTAACAATTTGCAGATTCATTAATGACACTGTCGTACAATCATTTCCATATTGAACATCCTTTCGTACTAGCAGCACCAAGTTAATTATGCACACTATCGTAGTTGTGTCTTGTCTATTTATACCCCACGCAACTAGTTGCGGGAGGTATAATGTTTTTGACCCGTCCGTCAGTCAGTCAGTCCGTCAGTCAGTCAGTCAGTCAGTCCTCTTTTTTTGTCAGCGCAACTCCTCATAGACCGCTGCACAGAATTTCGTCAAACTTTGCCGATATTTAGGACACAATGTGTAGATGTGCATATTACCAGGAAATTCCGATTCCATTATTTTTTCCTGGAATTTCCGCACTTTTTAACTTAGGCATTTGGCCATACCTTGAATATAGAGATGAACAGTTAGTCAGCGCAACTCCTCATAAAACGCTGCACAGAATTTCGTCAAACTTTGCCGATATTTAGAACACAATGTGTAGATGTGCATATTACCAGGAAATTCCGATTCCATTATTTTTTCCGGGAATTTCCGCACTTTTTAACTTAGGCATTTGGCCATACCTTGAATATTGAGATGAACAGTTTGTCAGCGCAACTCCTCATAAACCGCTGCACAGAATTTTGTCAAACTTTGCAGATATTTAGGACACAATGTGTAGATGTGCATATTACCAGGAAATTCCGATTCCTCTATTTTTCTGGGAATTTCCGCACTTTTTAACTTAGGCATTTGGCCATACCTTGAATATAGAGATGAACAGTTTGTCAGCGCAACTCCTCATAAACCGCTGCACAGAATTTCGTCAAACTTTGCAGGTATTTAGGACACAATATGTAGATTTGCATATTACCAGGAAATTCCGATTCCTTTATTTTTTCCGGGACTTCCCGCAGTTTTTAACTTAGGCATTTGGCCATACCTTGAATATAGAGATGAACAGTTTGTCAGCGCAACTCCTCATAAAACTCTGCACAGAATTTCGTCAAACTTTGCAGATATTTAGAACACAATGTGTAGATGTGCATATTACCAGGAAATTTGTCAGCACAACTCCTCATAAACCGCTGCACAGAATTTCGTCAAACTTTGCAGGTATTTAGGACACAATATGTAGATGTGCATATTACCAGGAAATTCCGATTCCTTTATTTTTCTGGGAATTTCCACATTTTCCAACTTAGACTTTTTGGCCATATTTTGAATATAGACTGAGATGAACAGTTTGTCAGCACCACTCCTCTCAATCTGTTGTACATAGTTTTGTCAACCTATGCAGTTATTTAGGACATATTCCATTATTTTATCCCAAGAGTTTTGCCTATTATTCAAGAAAATTTCTCCCCTCCCCCACCACTTCAAATTAATGTTTGGATTTGTATAATGCCAAGAAATTTTGATTCAATTATTTATCTAGAAACTTCATTCCACATTTAAATGTCCTCATGTGCAAGACATTTTGATGTGAAGATTTTTTTTGCAATTATTGCCCTTTTTGATCTATACTATGTATTTTCAAACAAATCTTCAAATACATTATTTCTTTTGGACTATATTGATATTGCTTTTAATAAAATATCAAATATTCCTCACATTCGATGTGCCGCCTATCAATACAATACTGCCTGGTTTTTCGGTGGACTGCCTCTTAAAGTGCACTGTGCCTTTCATTATGTGTTTCACCGTCAAGTTTTGGGGGAGCGTGGGGTATGTGAGCTAGCTCACTTTTTCTTTCATTGACAAATGTCTTTACATGTATGCACTAAAGAGCAGCAGCTGTTGTGAAGATGTAAAAATCTGTCACAGTTGTTTTTATTTTCAATTTGTACAAAAAACAATGCTTTGTATATATATTTTTAATAAAAAATATGATGAACAATTTGGTTGATACATGTCTTTATAAAGACTCTCATGGATACGATCAGGACAACGAATTTGTAGAGCAGTTGGCATTTGATTTCCGATGCTTACATATTCATCAAAACTGATTCCAATAACTAAAAGCAAGTCTCTCTCTATTAAAACATTAAAAATAATAAAAATTGTTCTGCCTGGAGAAACTTTCTTGAAATAATGTCCAGAAGAAACAAAAATTCCTACAGACAGAAAATTTCCGATAAATCTCGGGTATAAATTGATAGCACTATTTACAAACAAGGAGCAATTATACAGAATGTTCCTTTAAATCTGAATATTCATGAGTGCATATTGTTTCTTCTCGCCCGCCGTCCAAGACTTTGATTTCCTTCGGAACACCCTCATGTCATTAGCATGATCCTCGTGTAACATGGGTACATAGGAAGGGGGTTCACATAGCTCCTACAAGATTTCACAAGAAATAATCACAGATCAGTACTTTGATAATATTATGATCAGTAAGTTTACTAATATATTTACACCTGTGGATCTTACCTTGTAACTCTGAAAGAAAGCTTTATATCCGCCCTGTAACAGATAGACTTCGGGGTGGTTTAGATTAGGGTATTTATCTTTGTTTAATTGACGATCTTTGTTCCGTAAAAAGCGACATCTGAAAGTAATATACATCCAGACAGATATACATTAAACAGGAATATTAATGAAGAAGACATTTTGCTTACACATTGTTTATATGCTTTGTAAACAAATCTGTCTCTTGTATCTCATCTTGTACAAGTACTAGTATGTAATAAGGAGATGTAAAGACACGTCAGTCATATGGTTAATAGTTCCAAGGAATGAGAGAAAATGGTTAAGGAGGAATGACCCTCTGTTGATGAAAATAATTCAGTGTTTCTTTCCATCATATTTTATCATAATCAGTAAACTGACTGCAATAGACTTGTCTGAGATTTTTCAGGTAACGATAGTAGGTACTAGTCTGAATCTTGACGAAAACAGTATCCAGAGAACAGGGAAAGCTAAGTATAATACTGTCATACATGTATCCGATTGCAGAAAAATGTCATTACATTAGCAGAGTCTTTGACCATAAATAACCAAAACTAAATTGACCACTTCGTGAAACACTGTTATGCAATACGTGAGGACTTACTTTTTGGGACCCCTCTCCGAGGAAAACTCACAGTGGAAAACGAGTATGTGACGCTCGTTCTCGCAATGGGTTCTCTTTTGATGAAGCAGTTGGAGTATACCCTCTTCTGTAAAAATATTCTCAGCGCCCTGAAAATTATAACGATTACTTCAAATATTTTTTTAAGTAAACATCTTGCTCACTCCTCCATGGCACCTGAACTCATCTCTGATGTTTTCGGAGGTCTGTGTTTGCTCTGCTCCTATTTTGTATTGTTTTAGAGACTTTTGAGCTTGAATACTGTTCGTTATCGCCTTATGTTTCACTTCATATAAAAAAAAAATGTCTATAAATCCTTACCTTTATATGACCACCAGCATATTCGTAAGGGTACCTGCAGTCAATGATGCGGAACGTTTTGATGACGTCTTTGAATGAGTCCTGCATTAGATCAAACAGAGTTTGTGGCGTTATGTTGTGAAGATCGCGGACATTTCCTGAAATGGTGGGTAGACTAAGGAGATACTGCTCGTCTCCAGTTTTGTTCGTTTGCTCGTGAGGAATGTTCTCTTTGTAATCATTGTGTGCATCTTCATTCTGAAATGACCATCCAAAAAGCTCGTGAAGAATACAGAGCAATGTATATCAAGATTCCGCCTCTAATGCATATATAAAGATAACAAAAATTATAATTATAACATAAAATTAAATTTAAAGAATAACGTGATTTATATGCACACAAAGGCAAACAAACAGTGATATGCAGACCTGGCTCTGAATAGTGGCTTGAAACAGATTTTTGCGACCTTCAAATGAACGGAAACGTTTTGGCCGGGGTCCATTGCTCTGAAATAATTCCTAAAAAAGAAAACTACATGTATGCAATTTCTATCTTTTTTTCTGATTTATTAAATATTATCAAAAAACTTTAAGACTTATTTTTCGTATTCTAAATCTAGCATCGTATCAAGAATATATACCTGAAAACAAGGGGATACATATTGTTCCATTGGAGAATCGCGAGGGAAGGAGGTTTCTAATTTCCTCTTGGAGCTGGGCGTCATCAATTTCTCTATGTCATCATCACTAGATTCATCGAATTGTAAACTACATGTAAACATTTTGTTTCCAGTCTGTAAAAAAGGAAATGTTTATCATCGTATATATACTTCATTTAAAGCGGAACATTACAATTCTGGATTTTTATGCGCAGATTTCAAAAGTATCTTTGAAGAGATATCATCAACCATGCACTAAAAAAATAAAACAATATTTGTTTGTTTTATATACCAAAATAAATTTATTGAAGCTGTATGGGTTTTTTTATATACTTCATTTAAAGCGGAACATATAAACGTTATTTTGACCAAAAATCTGTCCAAGAAAGACTCGGTGAAAAGCGGGGGAAAAGTAGAAGATTCTTTTTTTCTCGCTTTCCTTATGACAAGGAGAAAGGATGTGACCGATCGACTATGGAACGCCAAATTAACATATATTTAAATATTTGTACCTTTCTTCAAATTAAATATGTGTGCCTCATAGGCGTCGGAAGCAAATTGAAAGTGGGGTGGATAACCCCCACCCCCGCTTCCATCACCTATGTACCTATCTTCAGATATTTGTACCTAATCTTCATATATTTGTGCCTATCATCAAATCCATTGTACCTATCTTCAAATCAATTGTACTTATCTTCAAATCAATTGTACCTATCTTTAATTCAATCGAACCTATCTTTAATTCAATTGTACCTATCTTCAATTCAATCGAACCTATCTTTAATTCATTTGTACCTATCTTTAATTCAATCGAACCTATCTTTAATTCAACTGTACCTATCTTTGATTCAGTTGTACCTATCTTCAAAAGAATTGAAGATAGGTATAATTTAATTAAACCTATCTTCAATATTGAATTGAAGATATGTATAATTAAAGACAGGTGTAATTTATTTGAACATATATTTAATCATTTAGAGATATGTATAATTATTTACACCTATCTTTAGATCATTTAGACCTATCTTTCATTCAATTAAAATCAATTGTACCTATCTTTAATTCATTTGAAGATAGGTTCAATTATTCAAAGATAGGTATAATAATTGGAAGATAGGTACAAATATTTGAATATATTCCATAGTCGACAGGGCTGTTTACTCATCAATGACACCTGATCCCACCCTTTGATGTTTTTGGAAGCCCGTGTTGCCGCTATATATTTTTTTCAATGGAATTTTGAGATTGGTTACTTTTCGTCTTCTTCTTTCATTTTTAATTTTAAGGGAGGAAAGCATTAATTTTGGGGATAAATTAAGAAGACGGAGGGGTACTAATGAGGACAGAGTAAAGGTTGCATGATGCGGCGAAAAGAGCCTGAAAGATCTAGAGTGAAAAGAGGATCGAGGATCCCACTGAGGATTGACATTCAGTAGTCTTGACATGTCTGTAATACCAACTTGGTTTTTCTTATAAACCATAGTGAAAATAAATAACAATACCTTTGATTCGGTCCATTTTAGTCTTGATGTACCTGACGATCTGCTATCCATTTTGTTAAACGATTTGTTGAGAAGTTGTCACCTGCCCTGTGTGTGACCTGTCAGTCAAGTCGATAGTTTTCTAAACTAAGAAATCCAGCAAACAAAGCTGTAGGGTTGTGTGTTGCACATAAATGATCTATGAAAAAATTTCCATTGGATACGAAAGACAGATAATCTATGTTGCAGCTAATTTTCATTCACCAACCATAGCGTCTGTTAACATTTTCCGGAATTGACATGTCTTAACTTAAAACTTTTGAATTAGCGTCCCACTTAAAGTTCCTGTGTGTTTTTGTAAGCAGTGAATCATAACGAATCAAAACAAATGCGAGTATCGCTGCGGTTATTAAGCAGGATGCCTCCAGTGTTGAAAAAGTTTGATTACCTGGTCATCGGAGGGGGGTCTGGGGGGATCGCCAGCGCCAGACGTGCAGCAGAGTTTGGAGTCAAAGTTGGACTTATCGAAGAGGCTCGTATGGGAGGCACGTGTGTAAGTCAACCGATTTTGGTGTCGATATCTGGGACATCTTCTTCTTCTTCCTAATAGATTCTCAAACCCCCTCTTGTGACTATTAACTTTGATATATTCATGTGCTTATTAAAAGAGAGCAATAAAGGAAAAGAGCCATATGTCTGTCCATAAGCCTTATCAGATGCATTTTTAGCACCGTTTAGTTTAACAAAAGCAAAAGTGTCCCTCTGCTGACAAGCCAGTCCAGTGCTCTACCAATTGAGGGGGGGTTAACCCACTAGCCCAAGTTATGATGCCATTTATCTAACACTACCACATTGTCCCCCTCAAAATAAATTCAAATTCAAAAAAATCAATAAATTCATTGTAAAAAGCACTATATTTAACTGAAAATTATTTCATCTGAAACATTATTGCAAACTCTGAATCCTATAAACTCTTCTTGTGCTGATACAACAGTTCTTAACCAATTTTGTTCCATCAAGTAGTGTGAAGCATAACTAGTATGAAGTGAGTAATAGTAAAATGTTAAGTATAAATATGACATGTAATCTATTGCAGGTCAATGTAGGATGTGTGCCAAAAAAGATAATGTTCAACACCGCAGTACATGCAGAAATGATTAAGGATCACAAAGACTATGGATTTGATGTCGACTTTAAACAGTTTACATGGGGGTATGCACTAACAGTTGTAGAAAAAAAAATCATATGTATTCTTTTTTGATAAATCTTGCTTTCAATTAATTTCAAGATAAATTAAATTCTTCTAAAGAGTTGAATAGAAACCTAACCTTAAAGAGGCTATTTCTTTATAATAATGTTTTTTGCTATTTATAAGGTAAACTGTAATTGTAGGAGAGTTAAAGCAACCCGGGACAACTACATAAAAAGATTGAATGGAATCTATGAAGCCAATCTTGATAAGGTTTAACCTTGTTTAATATTAATGTACCATATTTTATTTAAACAAAATTCAACATTATACATTGAATCAACATAAAAGTAATGAAAATTTTTTTAAGTTTCATCAAGGTCACCTAGGGGTGTAAATTGCATGTTGAAAAATTCTTTTTCATTTTTTTAAGGTTCAAGTTAAAATGAAAAAGCATGGTTCATTTGGATAATGTTTTATAAAACTATAATTTAATTTTCTACACATGAAGTCAAAAGTGGACCACATTCATGGTCATGCCAAATTCACAGATGATGGTAAGGTAGAGGTGGGAGGCAATCTTTATGAGGCGGATAAGATTCTGGTGGCCACAGGAGGCCACCCTGTCATTCCGGACACACCTGGAGCGGAGCATGGCATCACAAGTGATGGGTTCTTTGAGCTTGAAGACCTTCCAAAGTAAGTCAGAATTAAGCTTCTAATTTCACTTAAGGTATTAATGTGTTTGCACTGGGGACATTAACCATTAATGATAAATTTTGAAAAAATAATTGCTTATTAATAAATACAGGTTTTGAAGTTGGTAAGCTTGAACATCACATATAAGTTATTTATAAAAGTTACAAACCAAATGTAGTCAACATATGAATCATATACTGAGTTGTTTTTAGGCGTGTGGTGGTGGTAGGAGCAGGTTACATTGCTGTGGAGCTGGCAGGGATATTTGGAACATTAGGAGCAAACACATCTATTCTAATCAGATATGATCAGGTTATATTCAAAATAAAAATTTACATGTATTTTCTTCTAATACTGTTCCAGTAATATGCTTTCTCATGTAAAGTGAATAAATTGCAAACTAAATGTACAGTAAAACTTGTCTTAACTAGATGTTGTGCAATCTGAAATCTTTTCTAATATGATAAAAATTTAGTCCCTTTAGTACATGTAATTTTATTTGTTTAAAATGTCTAATACATGAACTGCCAATTTCTATGGAAACAGTTGTGTCTTAATATCACAAGTTTAACTTTAATACAAGTTTGTCGTCAATTCAAGTTTTCTATTCATTACATAAGAACAAGATGAAATACTAAATACTATATTTGCGTGAATATTGATTTAGTTTCTTACATGTCCATTTTTCATCAGGTACTAAGAAACTTTGACTCCATGATTAGCCAGGCAGTGACAGATAATTTAGAGCACGGTGGAGTAGAGGTCAGAAGGAGAACACAGGTGAGGAGGAAGACTAGGAGAGGTAGCAGTACAGTTAAACTACATTATCAGAAATTGTAGCAGTACAGTCAAACTACTATCTTGAATTGATTAGGACAGAGAAAAGTACTTGTATCAATGTTTTGATGTTTTATTTATAGATAACAAAAGTGACAAAGGAAGGAGATGGTAGGTTAACACTGGAGCTGACTAATGGTCAGATATCAGGAGTGGACTGTTTACTCTGGGCAGTAGGAAGGAGGCCAAGTACTGCTGGAATTAATCTGGAGAAGCTGGTAAGATAACTGTCTAAACTGAAAACAGTAACAACTGAAAAGACTGTCAGTGTTGTCAAGCATTACATTGTAGTGTAATGCATTGGTAATTATAAATCAGCTATGCATACAGTGTATCTCATGTCTCTTAATTCTTGAGAGAATAGAGAAGGGCTGATATAGAAGGTCAATCTTAATATAAAAACTTGTATCTGAATGGACTGTTTAATTATAATACTGGAATGTATCTGAATAGACTGTTAATATGCTGAACATAATCGATTGAAAATTTATATTTCTAAATCAGTTTTCTCTATCTTATACCTCACAATTTTGCAGGGAATAAAGATGGATAAGGCAGGACATATCATTGTGGATGAATATCAGAACACCACTGCCAAAAATTTCTATGCTTTGGGAGATGTCTGTGGAAAGGCCCTTCTTACACCTGGTAAATAGCTTTTACTACTTCATGCACCACTTTTGAGGCTCAAAAATGTTTTTAATGCAGAAACATTTGTTTTTGTTGTTCAGAACAGGTTTACCCAACATGATATTTAAATAACATAGTACCAAGAAGATATATAAATGAAAAAGTTAATGTTTCATTTTTCAGTTGCCATAGCAGCAGGACGTAGACTTGCCCACCGTCTCTTTGACAACAAGCCTGATTTAAAGTTGGACTACAGCAACATTGCCACAGTTGTATTCTCCCACCCCCCTGTGGGCACTGTTGGCCTGACGGAAGGTGACACAGATAAATATATTTATCAAACTATTGAAGTAATGGTTTCTATTCAGAATGAAATGTTAGAGAGTGTAGTAAGGCTTCTTTTGAATGGAAAAATACATGTAAATTTGGTTCCTGTCAATTCAAGGGACAATATTCATGGAGATTTTATTTATAGTCTAGTTATAAGAGCAAAACCAGTGTAATTGGTGTCAACAGGCCACTTAAGAGGGGGGGGGCTTACATGCAGTTTACAATTTAAGGATTTTACATTGTGGGATTTCTATTATTTAGTGTATAGGTTGATCTGATTTATGGTTACAGAGGAAGCCAAAAGCCAGTATGGAGCAGAGAACATAAAGATCTACACCTCTAACTTCACCCCTATGTACTACGCTGTCACCTCACGGAAGGAAAAGTGTATGATGAAGCTAATCTGTGTTCTCCCCGAGGAAAAAGTAAGTCACCAAATAAGTAAACAATCGTTCAAGCATAAAAAACTGTTTCCTGGATGATTAGATAATGGATGCATATTGATGTTCTGTATATCTGGTGGAAAACATAGGAGATAGGGAAGTAGTATTTGTATTATTGTACAGCTTTATTATTTTTAAATAATTGGAAAAAAAAGATCATCTCAAACTTAATTGTTATGAAAAGTATTAAGATAGTTTCGTGTCTGTTATTCTCCTTTTCTGAATCCCAGGTGGTAGGGTTACACATGGTTGGACAGGCTGTGGATGAAATACTTCAGGGATTCGCTGTAGCCATTAAGATGGGAGCCACGAAGGCTCAGTTTGACGACACGGTGGCCATTCATCCCACCTCCGCGGAGGAACTGGTCACCCTCAGATAGAGGCCCCACAGTTCTACCTCAGACTCACACAGCTTACTTACAACTACATATCATCTTAGATTCATACACTTAATGTCTGTCTATTTTTGTATTCATTATGAATCACTACTTTGTTAACAGGAAGGACTTTTCATTATTTATTATGATATTTGATTCATTTTGATTTCTTTTTACTCTGAATTTACTTTCAGGATTGTTTTTTTTTATTGTGATAGAAGATACATGTAATCATATGTTGAAAATGGTCTATTTTTAACATATTTATCTATAGCAAAAATAAATGTAATTTTTCATCAAATCAAATGGCATACTTAAATATCTCTCTTGTAGTATTGCATATTATGAAGCATTCAGTGCAGAAGAATAAAATAATATATATAAATCTATATATACTCGGTATATAGGCTAGTGTCTTTTGTAATATATACACAAAATCTTGTCTTACAAGTTCAATACTGTAGACATACTTTTTTCCACGGGGTCATAATTCCGCGGAATCTCAATTTCTGTTTAATCCGCGGGTAAAAAATTACATGGATATTCTAGATTATCACTATATGCCTTACATTTATATTAAGTACGCTTGGACAAATTTTCGCGGAAAATTTGTGACCGCGTACATAGCGTAAATTAATACCAAAAAGTACTTCTACAGTATATCACAGAATCTACACTACATCATTTTGACATGATTTACAGTATACAATCTATAGAGTTGAATAAATTATTTGTACGGGAAAGGAATAATGTCACTGTAAGTTGTTCCAGAGAGATTCAAACCTGCAAGACAAAAAGGAAATAAAGTTGTAGTCATGATTACTGTGGTAGCTAGGACTTTAGCGTATTTTACTAAGGAAGTGATTGATTTTACATTCGTTTCCAAAGAAGAAAAGTAATAACTAGATACCATGATTAGAGAGTTTTTAGACAAGACCTTTCTGACAAGGGGCCCATGAGCTGCACTACTCAAAAAGGACTCGATTTGAAATAAAACACACTGAGGCACTAAACAAAATGCTTATGTCTTCAACAAATCTTATCTGCTGTAAATAAAACACTTCAAAGAACAAGTTATACAGAAAGTATAAACTTTGACCTTTTTCTGGATTTCTTCCCAAGTGAAAAAAAAAATAAACAAGATGTGTTTGTGAAACACTATGCCCCCCCCCCCCCCCATGGTAACAAAATTCTGGAGCTCGATACAGTGCAGTAGTTGTGGCCAATGTTGAAGTTTTTCAAATGTAGGTCAAAGGTCACAGCTGAGGTCACATGATCAAAAATTTATGTACCAATGGAAAGAGCACTTATGTGAAATATTACAGCCTTACCCTTGACAGCGCAATAGTTATGAGCTAGGTTAAAGTTGACAACAGACAGACAAACAGAAACAGGACAAAAACAATATATCCCCGGGATCTTTCAATCCGAGCATAGAAATTAGGATTTAACTCTCTTTACGTGGAATAACATTCAACCCATTTTAAATGGGTTGAATTTTATTCCACGTGATGAGAGTTTAATTGCTGCATAAGAATCTGAGTCTTTTACCCATGTCATCTTTTCTTTTGACGTCATTTTTCTCGTCAATAAACGTCACTTCCTGTCCTCCTTTTGGTCTTCCCACCAGGGCGTCATTAGTGACTTTCTTATTTCCCAACAGGAAGTACGTCTCCATCGCCGCTAAACCGCGTAAGTCAGTCTGACCTCTCGGCTCCATTTTAAAACCTTTCTCGCAAATGGCACTGTTTTAAAAGAGATTTGTATCACATGCTATTTAGTCATCAAGAAAATCAAAGAGGTTCCAATTAAAGTCTGTATTTCGTGAATTCACACATACATGTATACTGGAATTTATATATTTCTTGTACTACACACTTGTAAGTGGTGGGGCTGATGTGGATCTTGCCCGGCTCTCCATGACTCTCCATCTTGGATGCCACCACCGCTGTTTCCCCCATCACAACAAACCTTGGCAAACGGGAATTTACAACTCCACAAACAAGCGACCCAGTATGGATACCGATGCGAAGCTAAAAAAAAACCTTACCTTATTCAAATCTATGAAATCAAAGATCGAAGGATCACTAAACGAATAATGACAGTGATTATTATGTAAGGAATTTCGTTTGGACATTAACCTGAATCTTTTCCCCGTACAGTGGAGATGCGACTTCGTTTCCGAGAATGAGCATCCCCAAAGCAGTATTGGCAATTCTTTCAGCATGGTGCGTCTGCGACTCCGGCGTTCCCGAAACAACAAAGTATGCATCGCCGATAGATTCAACCTATTAAAGAATTAATATACGGAAGATAGAAAATCCTGAATTGTACGAAAGGTAATCAAATAATTTTTTTTGAAAATCAACATAGAATTCTTCACCCGAAAAGTGTCGTGCACATGCGTGAGTCTGTCGAATTTCCTATACAGAGCGTTGAGAACTTCTAGGACATCGCTTGGCTTACAGTTAGCAACCAACTGTATGAACCCAACGACGTCACAGAACAACGCGGTCACTTCAGGATAATAGCCTGGAAGAAAAAAGAAAATCTTAATGTTGAGGTATGTATATACTTCTTGATACATTTTGGCAAGAAACAGTTAAAACTGATTGACTCAAGTCGTCCAAATGCTTGCAGTCGCACACTTCCAGTAAATGTTTGAAAACATTCAGTCTTTTTTTTAAATTGCCTTTTTTAAAATACAATGGACATGAAAAAAGCAAAAGCAACACAAATGCTTAATGTTTGAAATAAAGGAAAAAAAATATAATTTTAAAAATTTAAATGTTTGTTTGAGATTTACCCGCTCCTGGAAGTTCTTCTTTTTGGATTGTCAAAGCCAGAGACCGAGGTAGGAAAGCGTGATAAAGACGTTCATTCCTGTTCCTTTCGTTGTCCAAATCTCGCTGTACCCGGATCCATTTTGTCCTGACGTTTCCGATTTCTTTTTCATTACCATCGTCTTTATCGTCGTCACCCATCCTGTTCATCATTTCACCAGCGTTGATGAGCGAGTTGTTGTCGAGGAAGAAATGACCGTAATACTGTCCTGACCCGACGCTGAAAACACAGTAAACCAGACAATGGAATGCCTGTATCAGTATTGCATTAAGTTTACAAAAGGACAGACCTAAAGTACAGACCGAAATGCCATATCCGACAGCAGGAAATCTCTAGTGGCGTCCCACATTGGAAGGTCAGCCAGTCTCATCGTTCTAGATTCGAGGTCTTCCCAGGCCCTTATGTAGGGAGAAGCCACGAAAAAGACGAATCCTTTATCCCTTAAATGAAACATTTGTCCTACAACAAGGAAAAAAGATAAGATTTATTTTTTACCTTTTTGGGGCCCATCAGGGCATACAAATAGAGAGAAATACACACAAGAAGAAAATTGATAGCAAATGTTGACATACAACTTACTACTATATACCCGATGTATGGATACGTGATGTTTTCATCATAAGGATAAACGGTATTTTATGTGATGTGCCATTTTCTCATTTAGTGTCAACATACGAGGGTTGATCCAAAAGTTCGTGGAATTTCTTTCTAAAATTTTATCGCGATTTGATGAAAGCAAACAACAGGCATATTCATAATATAGAGTCATAATGCAACAATATTGGAAAATTTTACTACTTTCCAATTACCAATGAGGTCACACGAGCTTTCTGAAAATGGATATTTGTGAAACCCGGGGGAGACTTCGACGTAATGTCAAGTTAGATATGTCACGTCACGTTATAGATGCAACTCGCCCTAATGTCCAATTTGAATTCGTAATTCTACAATTAGCTGTCTTTTTTCTCTATTTTTTCTCTCAAAAAAGCCTGGGTATCCTCTTGCACCAACTTATCTTCATTTTTCACTCATATTTCAAATTACTACCCATCTTTCCATATGATGTTCCAATGATGATCCAATTTCAGTAGTAATGTCAAGAACTGTACTGCAGCCAACAACGTCCATTAACGCTTTTATTTTTTAAGGGGATCTGCACCTAAAACAGTCTCCAAAAAGCCACCACAGCTTTAATCAACGTCCATGGCAGTTCTATTTTCTTAAATTTCTCATGCCACCGAAAAACCAGTAACTAAATGCATTTTTCCCAAGCCTTTGTCTATCATATACGCGTTTAAGATAGAGTGATCCCGGATTTTTCACAAAACGTACGACTTGACCGAAATTTGACGTTGTCTAACGACTTAAAGATGAACAATAAATAATCAATTAATAAACTAAATATCCAGTAAAATCAGTAAAACTTTCACACAATGGTTTATAAAAGACCAAGCAATCGTAATAATGATATAATTTTCGTTTTATATACCACACAGGCCGGTTTAAATCTCATTTCACGTATTAAGAGTTAAAATGAAAATGAACGTGTTAATGTCTCCCCCGCATTACCAAACAACCGTTTCTATGACAACTGCCATAGGGTTACTATCAAATATATTTAAACTATTTTTCAATTTAAAATATTCATCAAGTGTCTATATTTTCATTTGTAACTTTCAACCAATTCAGCTTAAAAATGAATAATATATGAAAATATTCCACGAACTTTTGGATCAACCCTCGTAAAACAGAATATATATGTGCATGGTATTACCATAAAATTTGTAAAGCTGGCATCACCTTTTCTAAAACGTAATTTTATTTGAACTATCGCAGGAGGCAACATATGAAAATATTTGATGTTACACATTCATATCGAACGATTTCATTTAATTGTTCGATGTTAGAGTATCCAGATCTGATTTCACCTCTTCTTGAATAGGTTACACCAAGGACTTCTAAGGTTTCTCAATGACAGTAACTATTTTTTTGTGTCGAGTGAAAAAGGAATCACGGAATATCCTAACGCCAAAGTAGGGAATAATAATAGCGGGAATGAAAGTACTAGTACTATTGGTATCCATGGACTTAAAACAACGAAAAAGGAGAAAGACTGTTTGAATTTTGTCTGACAAACGGACACAGGAACATTGTTTCCCCATTAATACAAAGCAGCAGAGGTGTCTACTAGTAAAACAGCGGAAAACCTGATTAACCACCTTCTCATTACTGGGCAGTGAAGACCATCTGTTCTTGACACCAGGGTCCAGAGGGGAGCAGATGCCAACAGCGACCAGTACCAGGTGAAGACCCGAATCAAGCTACCCTCAACAAATAAAAAAGATAAAAACAAGTTAAAACCAAGACTGGTGTAGAGCGCATCAAAAGCAAAGAAATACAAAGCTCAATGACTGCGTCAGAAAAAAATCAGAAGAACACATGGAAAAGACTGAAGATATCAAGAAATATAAGAGGAGCAGTAAATGAGCAGAGGAAATACAGGAAAGGCAAAGGCATGCCTTGGATCAACAAAAACTCCTGAACATCGATAGAAGGAAAAGACATCAAGGCAAAGATAGCGATCACAATATCAAAAAGAGTAAATTCTAAATTTAGGGAAACCACAGAGAGAAAAACAAAGCAGTCAAGAAAAGTGGGTGAGAGGACAAGAGGAGATGGATGGCAAAGAGAACTAAGCGAGCAGCGAAAGCAGCCGAGAACGAGAGGCAGATGGAACTGTATATTATCGTAAAATACCTGACAAGAAAGAGAAATAGACGGCAGCGGCGAAGATCAAGGATGGAGAGCTGATGTAAAATAAAGAAGCAAGGCTTGCAAGATAGAGGGAACACTGAAAAAGTACTTAACAGGGACATCCCAGAGTCACCATCACAAGATAGATATGGGGAGAGGAAAAAGCTAGACATCTATGTAGAGCCACACGTGAACCACAAAAAAAAAGAAAAAAGAAAATAAAGGCTACACCAAAGACTCTTCGGAATTGGAAGGCTCCTAGAAGCAGATGAAATAACAGTGGAAATGATAAAGATGGACCTGGACCTGACCAGCCAGGAACTGAAGCACACTTTTGACCTGATAAGAAAAGAGGAGAGAGTGTCCGAAGAATTGACCAAAGGACTGATTTGTACAATTCCCGAGAAAGGCAACTTACAAGACTGCAAAACTGGAGGGTACAACATTGCTGACCCTATCCAGGGAAGCATTTAGTCCTCATTAACTATAGTTTGGAGTTGACCACACCCTTAGGAAAGTACATGCAGAGTTCCGGAGAGGAAGAAGGGCTGTCAATCAGATCTGCATCCTCAGTAACATAATGAAGCAAGTCAACGAATCGAATGCTACCTTGTACATCTATTTTATGGACTTTAAGAAAGTTTTCGACTCGTGCTGATATCCGAAAGAAGAAAGCGCTGGCCGATGCATCTTTTAGTCTACAGATGGAAAACCACAGACGCAAGTAGAAAGACAAATCTCACTCTTCAAGAGCCCGGTCCTCTCCTTATTGTAATACAGATGTGAAACTTGGAAGCTTACCAAGACTTAGCAAAAGAATCACATCTTTCAGACTAGTGCCTCAGAAGAAGGTGTAGATTACAGCGGCATATCCCACTCTCCGGTTCTTGAAATGACAGGAGCAGAAAATATTAGTGGCGAGAAGAGGAGGAAGAAATGGAATTGAACCATGAGCTGCGAATGTATCGACAGATGGTTGTGTTTCGGCCTTCGGGTGGACTTCTGAGAAGCGAAGGAGGCGAGGACGCCCCAAGAAACAATGCCGATTGATGGTGGAGCGAAATGCAGGCAGGAAATCTTGGAACAAGGCACGATGTGCAGCCTCAGGCCGACTACAGTGGAAGAGAAGTGTTCAGACCTTGTGTGTCATCTGGCATGGAAAGAATTATGGTTAAGGTAAGGAAAACAAGGTTTGATAACCATTTTTTCGCCTCTGCAATGTTTCTGTAAGAGTCTTGATTTGCTTCTATTGACTGGGAGGTGACTTGATACATGATTGTAAGATTTGGAATCATCAATTATTTAACCGTTGATGGCACCCGGGGCCATAAAACTTAGATGAGCTCACTTCTGATCTAAGTCTCGCTTTTATAAAAGGAATAATTAGTGAAAAAGTGAGACATTTATCAATGATGAGCTTTTCTTGCGTTTTATGCCACCGGAGCTTGATCAGAAGTGAAACACGATGCGCCAGTTTGGTTTTTACTGCCATTAAGTGGTACCACCTTTTCCAAAAAAAAAAAAAATCTGTTTCGGACTGGAAAATATTTTTGGTAGATCATATCACAAAATGACAGTAAATACCGATTCATATTATTTCACCAATTCAAATAAGTGATATAATTTCTTATGGCATTTTAATATCCGAATATAATTAATTTAAATTCCTAATTAGTGAATGCAATATCGCATGAAAAAAGGTAATATTTTTTTAAAAATTAAACTTTAATTTCCCATGTTAAGCTATAAATACCGAGTTTAAAACCTTAATTTGTACTCTACCACTTGACGCAGTGGTTAGAGCGTTTGCAATATGCTGTCACGGAGTAAGGATTGAACCTTTCGTCGCGGGTTTGAATCCCACTACGGTAAGTGGAAACCAATGCTCCTGGTTCGTATAGATTAGGTCCAGTCTCTCAATCGGTGATGTCTCAAAGGCCGCGAGTGCAGTGTACAGGTCTACATTAGCAGCCGTATACCGTCGAGTCGCGGTGTCTCAATTAAATAAATTAATTTGCGAAGGGGACGTTTAACAAACATGTATTTGTACCTTTTATTAACAGAGGAGGTCGCTTTGTCCAAGTCTTTTGCATCCTTTCTCGGCGTAATTCCAGAATGAACGGTGACCTTATGAACCGTTGAATGTTATCATAAGTCAGATCCGTACACCGCGGGTATCGCAATAGGAAGTAGTCCTTCATTTCCGAGGAGCGAATCCGGATACTTGGCATCAACTGTTGAATACTTATTCCCGACTGATGAACCTTCATACTGGTATTAAAAATCACGTGGTATGGAAAAACCTCGATAAACATGCGTGGGTTTATCGGGATTTCCTCTGGATAGTTTGGCACAAATCCACGGCTCAGTAAACTTATTCTGGCTATTGCCCGCCATTTTGCTCTACTACTTTTGTATTTTGCGACGGGCAATGCTTCTTCTCCAAATTCTTTCTTTATTTCTTCTAATTTCTTTTTAACAGCTTCAACATCCTACAACCCAATCCCAAAATATTTTATTGTCGGTTTCATGTGCAACGTATTGGATATAATAAAGATGCAACATTCTTTATATAAACTAGTAAATATTCTAATCTAAAATAAAGTTTACCCCTTGAAGTATTTGTTGCTCGCCATGCTTCTTAGTTTGAGCGATGAAAGTCGGCGGAGGGTCATTCACTTTATCCAGTATCTGCTTTGCAACGATACTGAAAGTCACGTGCTCTCTGACTCCATGTTGATTCGAAGATACAGTTTCTTCAGTTGTAGAAAGTATGTCTATGTGGAGTTCCATTTTGTACAAAGACTTCGCAGCTTCTCTGATAAATCCTGATTAAATAAATTTATTTTGATTTATTATTTGATTATTATCAATAAGATTGAATGAAGTGCGAAGATAAAGAACAATAATCAATGTCTAAAAACTTGGGATCAGGTGCCACGGAGGATTAAGCATCTTCTGTCCACCGACACTTCTACTTCAATTAACGAATGTTTTATAAAAGTTTAAAAAGAAATCATATTTCATACCAGTTACAATTTGTCGATATCCTGGTCTGTATGAAAAGTAATGGAGTATCATTCTATCTGATACCGAGTCGTCGTCACACCGGAAATGAGGCATGACGTAATCTTGATACTCTTCTTTGAGGTAAGACTGCACGTAATCCATATTCTGTAGGAATTCCAGGACATTGTTGGCCAGGTTTCGGATAAGTTCTTCGTAGCCATAGCGACGAAGATGTTCAAATAGAAAAGCGCCAAACATTTCCAGAAACGAATCCTTTTGTAAATCTAGAGTTAAATAACAAGTCATGTTTCACGAAATGTGTTCGTACTGAAAATGACCAACCATTTAAAACATAACTCACGTGAGTAAAAGTCTATCGGCCATCCACTTTTTTAATTATCATATTATTTTGATCTTGGTAGTTGATTTCTATAGTTTTTTCTTACAATAATAGTGGTCACGCACTCACGGTTGCATTATTCCAAGACATAACGCATTGCTTTTCCAACGTGCACTCTTAATTTAAGAAACAATAGATATAGAACATGCTAGGTTGCTTTACCACTTCAAATCTTCATGAATGTATGACCAGTTCACATTATTTTATGCTTGATTTTTTTTTAATATCAATTTTCATGTTATGATAGCCTTATCTCAATTCAAGTTTTATTTTCCTACCCAGTTCTTTGATGGCGGCTTCGATGATTCTCTGAGTGAGATTGTCATCGTATTTGTCCTCTGTGGTGAATGTCTCCTTCACATCTTTCTGTTTTCTACAATCAAGCCATCATTAAAATCTGGCCATTGTTGCAAGTCATTGAATTAGTTGGAGCTTAAATACTGTTGGTAATCACCATGATGATAGTTTTTGCATCAATTGGTAGGAAATATGTCATCCATATTTATCTTAGGAAGAAGGGTTGTGTTAAAAAAAATACCGAAAAGAAAGGTTACATAATTTTTTATATAATATATATATATATATATATATATATATATATATATATATATATATATATATATATATATATATATATATATATATATATATATATATATTATGGCAAATTAAAAATCACTTTGACGTTCTTCCAGAATTTAACTTTGCTCTTTAAAAAGATGAGACGCCGGAGATCGAGTTGATCAGTTTGATAATTACATTTTCAATTTCGTTAACATTTCTACCGCTTTATATAAAAAGTTATTTCTTTATGAAATATAAGCTTATATAAAATAATGAACTCACGCAATCACCGTCCATCTATTTTCACCAAATCTTTCAATGATAAATTTCTTAAGTGTTTCATTCAACTGCCCATACTATTGAAGAAAAGAGAGAAAGAACCGCTATACTTTAGCAATAGATGATATTCACATGGTAATTTTTGAAAATTCAACAAACCATTTAAATTTATTGAAAATAATACTGGTATTCCCTTTAAATCTGAACCGTAGCCACTAACTTTTTTTTTTTTTTTTTTTTTTTTTTTTCTAAATATTTTTTGTAGAAAGATACTAACCATTCTTTAAATTTCATCACAATATCTAAGTAATTAACTCACCATAATGACTTCTGTTCCTTACTTTGTTTAGTGATTGTGTTGTGAATGTTTTCGTTTAGGATGTTTGTGATCTCTATAATCACATTTTTCAGTCTGCAGTCCAGTTGTCAGGGGTAATTATCATTTTATGTCTTTTTGTCAAAAGCTCAATCGACAAAAGCTCAATCGGAAAGAATTACTGATGAAGGTAATAAAATTCCTATAGATAGATGTGAGATACTTTAATATTGCCGAATTTCTTATATAAGCAGGGACGCATCCTAGATAACACATTATTAGTGAACAATTTTTATACCTATGGTTTAAAATCTTGTTTGGGGGAGGAGGATAAAGTAGAATTATAATTTTTAAGTTATGCAATAAGTGACTTCAAAATTTTAAATATTGAATTATATTCAAAATTAATTTTTAGCCTTTTAAAAATATTATCTTATAGCAGAACTTGTTAAAAAAATTTCTACAGGAGAAGAAAATAAACTCTGGCAGTGGTTTTCAATTAGATATTTAGTTTTATGGGCGGTGTAACGACGAAAAATGACCCCCGTAGAATATTGACCAGGGGGTCATTTTTCTACGTAGAAAAATGACCCCGGGTCAATATTCTACGACAAGTAGGGTCACTTTTCGACCGTAGAAAAACATTCCAGACCATTAATTCTACGACTCCACACACGTTGAAAAATGACCCCCACAGAAATTTGACCCCCTAGTTTTTTATACAATACAACCTTGTATATGTGTCTCCTGATATTTTTCATACTTTCAAATGCAAGCAGGGGAATTATTTATGTACTTTAATCCTTTCCAACATTATTCAATTGCATATCTTAATAGTAGCATCACAATCAATGTATCTGGTATGGATATATTTTTGGCTTTCAGAATCCCAATGAATATTTATTCATTGAGGAGCATAAATTTATGATAATATTTTGGGTGTTTTTTTTTATCATTCAAATGTTTTATTCCTTGATATGTTTCTGATAACTATAAACTTTGAAAATTTTTACAAACCCAAAAACAAAGCACAGAAGGAAGAAAAGCCACGTTATTTAAGGAATAACTGTCTTATTTTTCGAATTCATGAAGTGATCAATGGATTGGCTTGTGTGATAATTTGCATAAACGCCGAAGGCGTTTATGCATAAAATTATCACACAAGCCAATCCATTGATCATCTTCATGAATTCGAAAAATCTGACAGTTATTCCTTATATTTACATGCTTTGATTCCGCCAATCCACGGGCTCCAAGCCTGCTTCTCTCTAGGTGTTGTCCCGCCCTGCACGTGGTTTTTTTTTTTGGAACCGCGCCAAGACATTCATGAAGAAATAAATTACATTTACAATTGGTAATTTTATCTCGGACAAAGACATTGGAAATGTAAATATTTAACTATAAATTCAATTCACTTAGCTCTTACCTTTAAACTTACATTTAAACTTACATATCAGATATAACTTACATATACATCTGTATGCATTGTGCTTTAAAATACATACTTTTTATCTACATGTACCTTATCTAAAGTTCTATACTTTTTCCTGTATATACACTGTGGATTTTTTTCTGTTTCAATATACAGGAAATACTATACACATCGAAACGTTCTTCTAATGATATTAAAAATTCCTCCAAAACTGGCAAAAATTACATCTGAGTGAATAATAGTTCTAAAGAAGAAATTCTTCAAAATCATATGTCAGTTTTGAATATTCAATATCTATGTGGTTTTTAGAGAAGAGGTCTTCCAACAATCTATTGGAATTCCCATGGGTACCATTGTGCTCCGTTATTAGCAGACCTATTTTTGTATTCATATGAAGCAGACTTTATCCAAAATCTTGTACTTGAAAATGGGAAAACACTTGCTGTGGCCTTCATTTCGAAATTTAGATATATCGACGACGTATTGTCAATTAACAATAGTAATTTCCATTCCCACGTCGATACGATACATCCTGGTGAGATTGATTGAGATAAAAGATACCACAGAGTCTGACACATCTGTTTCCTAATTGGATATTTTACTTGAAAAAGACGTTAACGGTAATCTAACAACCAAGTTCTTTGATAAACGTGATGACTTTGTTTTCTATTGTCATCTTCCCTTACTTATGCAGCAATTTACCTTCATCACCTGCATACGGAGTATATATACCTCAGTTGATTCGATACGCAAGAGCATGCTCTACGTATGAACAATTTCTTAAACGAGGTTAATTATTGACAAGCAAGTTGATGAAACAAGAATATCAGCAGTCTCGTTTAAAGTCATTATTATGTAAGTTCTATGTTCGATACAATGACCTTGTCAGCAAATACAATTCATCATTGAGTCAAATGCTGACGGACGTTTTTCATACTAATTGTTAGTCCATTATTATACACTGAATTGACGACGGATTTTTCCGTTATTTCCCGATCATGACTAGGAGAACACGGAGGGTGTGACCGGTCGGCAGGGGACGCTCACTCCTCCATGGCACCTGATCCCACCTCTGTTGTTTCGGATGTCCGTGTTTGCTCTGCTCCTATTTTGTATTGTTTTATAGACTTTGAGATTGAATACTGTTCGTTATATCCACATCCTTCTTTCAACATTTAGAGATATCTATAAATTCAAACAAACTTCCCTTTTCAACACTTTTTAGCCCACAGACACCTGACCAACTGTTGCTGTTACATCCACTTTCTACTGAGGTTTTATAAACACAACCCTTGCAAATTGATGAACTCTTAGTCATGCCATTACTTTGATATAAAGTCATAGCACATATATGTACCGCCCAAAAGCTAATGCCAAAGTAAAAGTGTAGAATTTTTGTGTAAAAGTGCGTCAAACTCCAAGGTCAATGTTAAAAAGTCGAAATTGGTTGTTCACAAAAAAGGTCTTGTCACAAAAATACACAAGTGAAATATGAAAGCCATAGTCCCACCCAGTATAAAGTTATTGGTAAGATTCAAGTTTTTGCGGACAAATATACAAACAGACAGACGGACAGGTAAAAATCAAAGTACTGAAAGTCATGGGAGTTGAACATGGTGTAAAAGATTTTTTGAGTTGCAACAATCTTGAGAGAGACATTCAGAGACATTGAATAGCAAAAAATGCATGGGCCATAATGCTTGCCTGCCCACATTAGTCTTTTTTTTTATACCCCCTGCTTGAAAAGCGGGAGAGTATTTATAAATCGGGATTTCTGTCCTTCGTTTGTTACGCTTTAGGTATACCCATCTCTTACCCGCAACTCCTCTTACACCACTTAACGAAATTTTCATAGAATCTTTATTACATATTGCCGTTGTGCACCTTCTATTACTTTTTCATCCTACACATATTTTGGGTTTCCCATTGCAAAACATGGACACTGCGATTATATTCATATTAGAGGCGGTTGATCATTTATATAATTCACTGCTCACAGTCTTCAAATTTGTAATATATTTTCCTTGGCACCTTTACCCATGTGTTATGAAAATTTCAGTTTCGCAGGAATAATATAAATGTTGATAAAATGTGGATTTTAACACAGCATCCTTTTAAGAGCTAACAGGTTTGTTATATAGAACTTCTCTGTGAATATAAATGTATTTCAATTACACGAACATTATACATGGAGTACGTCAGAACGTAATCTTTTTTAATATTGTGAAGAAAAAAGCAATACCAAGTTAAAAACAAATATTTAATTATCAAACATAAAAACAGTGGTATGTGA